TTTTTTTTTTTTTTTTATCATAAGGCTTATTGTTCATTTCCGACGCTAAAAACCGTGTTTTATAATTACCATTTTTGCCATTTTTTTTTTTTAAGTCTTAGCAGAAAATATTTTTGTTCAATTTTATTACAATCGATTGGCATACTTTAATTCTCTACAACATATTTTTTGCGTGCTAGTCTGAATTTCATGAAAAATTACTAACACTTCAGCTAATTCGATCCCACTAATACTTTTCTGGTGATTTCCAAAATAATTATGCAAATACTAGTGAGATGGATTTAAAAGTTAACAGCATAAAGCTACTATCCCAACTTAGCAAAGTACAATGCAGTGAAGCTGTTTTAATATTTATTTTGTTAGCTATTACAACTTCCCTTTCTTTGAGTATAACCTATATATTCTACTAGGCAGTGCTACCAACTTTTGCTCGCTTACGAGTCTTCCTCCCTCCCCCCTGAAACGCATACCCCGCAACGAAGGTTGTGAACGTCTTAAATAAAACCAAGGAAAAATATTCTTTTGAAGAATTATTTTGGGCGCTTAACTACGGTCTGGCCCGTCTACTTATTACTTATTAATCGAAATGCTATTTTGATATTCTGTTTGCAGTCTAAAATAAAACGGTAGGTATGATTGATGATTGACCTCATTGATGATTTATAAATATTTTTATAAAATTNTTTAAAATTTCGTGCAAAAAAAAAAATTTTAATTAATTTAATTGAGCCCCCAGAATCGAAGAATCAATAAAATTTAAAAAATGTTACATTATCTCACAATGTTTTCTTTTTAAATTGTTTTCAGTTAGTTCCTTTTCTATCAATACGGCTTCCATACATAGTTCTTTTGTATCTTTTTCAACAGAGGGTCCAATAATCATTCTTTCATGCATCTTGTACGTGTTTGATAAAGTCAGAGGAAGATCCAGCAAAGATAAATACTTATTGGTTTGAGTTATATCACCTCCAACGTGTAAAGAAGCTACGAAAATAACTACTATAAGATACAGTTCTCTGAATTGAATCATGAATGAAATAAAAATAACTTACCTAATGCCACTTTACTATTTATAGCAAATACTTTTTAACCTGATGCAGGGTTAGTATATTTTTCCGATGAAATAACTTTCTTAACTTCACCACAAGTGCATGTTATATCATATGATGATCCTAAATTGTGACGTGTTTCTGTCACGACGTTCTTCAATAAGAGATCGGCTTCACAAGTCGAACAAAGCATTTGTTGTGACGTATAATCTAAATCCACAATTCAATTGCCTTCCACAGGAATACTTTTTACAGCTTTTTTCGGTGGTATACTGTCACTTTGTGATGGTGCACATTTATAATGTTTTAATCCGAGTTTTGTGATCTTTGATACTTATTAACTTTCTTTACTGTTGTAAATTTTCCTGTAACACTGGAACGGAGTCTCTTTAGCTTTTCGTCCATTTTTGAGGTTAAACATAAACAACCGTTCTCTCTCTGTCTCTCTTTTGTGATGGCATGGTATAAAAAATTGAAAAATAAAACGATAATTATTCGTTACTATTTGTAATTATAATTGCTAACATGTTATTCTTAAGTTAGTACTTTATATTTGTTATACACATTGCGATTATTACATTTTCTAATTTACCTATGTAATATTTGGTGTGTTGACATTCGGCTGTTTCACCCTTGGCATTAATAAATTCGTTTACAATCAAAAAAATCTCTTTTGTGTACGCACTATAAACACATTACACCACCTGTACATATATGTATGATATATTGTAAATTTCACTAAAGCGTAGGTGTGTAGGTATACACGGTGAAATAACCCGTGAGAGAGAGGAGGGAAACGTCCGGCGGCTCGTTAAAAGAAAAGAAGCTCGGGCCAAGGTTGCGGGAGTCGCTCTCCCAGAACGCGGGGTTTTGTACGATTTAACTGGGTGCAGTGTGGTTGCCGCGTTGTTTTGCCCTCGCGACCGGCAGATTTTAAAGGGGAAACTTTTAAAAAACGCTTTATACAAAAAAGTCACCTAAAATATTATTATTGTTTGTTGTTGTTTCGTTTTGTTTCTAAATCAACGTGCATTCTTGAATCGCATGCAAGGATTGTCGCGTCGAGCCACAGAAAAAGTAAAAAAAAAAAATTGTGTCACTCCCTGAGAGAGTCTCTATGCTATTTTCCAAACGAAAAGTGGCAGAAAAACCCATCTCCAGAGCGTGGAGAAATGTGTAGAAAATTAAACTATGTAATTTAAATCATCGCTTTTGAGCAAACACGTCTAATCATCAGCTCACATGAAAACCAAACGCTCATCGCACGCGTGCACATTTACGTGCATGTGTATTTGAAGCGTTGCATAAATATTTGTTCCGTTTCGTTCGCATTTGTAGTATGTAAACGCGCACGCAAAGCGCTATTAATAGGTTTCGTTTTGTAAATCGTTGTAAGTATATGCAGGGACAAAATAAAATACGAAATCGAAACCACGACGTTTATTAATAGAGTGGAATATAAATAAAGAAAGTAATGGACGCAAGTGAGTAAATGATGCATTGAATAATATACACAAATAACAAGTTTGCGCGTGTAACTACATAAGTATGGCATATTGTGTGCGCTTTCACGAAGCGACGGTGAACGAAACGCGCGCGCCGCCAGCGGTGCTATATATAAACTACTCGTGCGCGGAAAAGGGGTTAAGGCCGTTGGGAGAGAAAAAGAGAGCGTCTGAAAAAAGTAAAATGAGACAAAAAGAGAAAAAAAAAAAAAAGAGTGGGAGGAGGAGGGACAAGGCTCCGTAGGAAGGTATATATGGTTCCTTTGGCGAAATTTGTTTCGCATGTTGGCGCTGCTTTTCTTCCTCCGGGCTTGATTGGGGAGCGATAAAAACGAAGAGTTTCGTGGTACACATAGATGATCGATGAGAGATAGAAAAAAAAAAAGTCCCACTCTCGGTTGCTGTGAAATTAATGGGGGGATTACCCGAGGCAATTGACCCGAGCACCCTCTCGAGTATACACACACGCGAGGGCGCCTCTCAAGAAAAGAGCGAGATGCCCCGTATCCTAAACCCATGTTTTGCTTTTTTTCTCGCTTTTTTTTGGGTGGTTGTTAAGAGCCAGCACAGTGCACACACATGTTCGTGCGCTCAGCTGCACGCGGCCTTGCGGGAATCGTCGCGCTCTCGAGTTCAAGGCCGCTTTTCGAATTGGGTCGCTGTGTAAGAGCTTGTATACAGATTGTTTATCCATGATTGGGGACAACAATGACTCGGCTACGCTATTAATTTTTTACAAATTGTACCTCCGAGTTCTCTGTTTGGTTTTAAAAAGACAAATACATGAAAAAAGTTTGAAGAATCAAGTTCAGATAAGGACAGGGGGAGGAGGAGGGGCAACCGTACTAACCTTGGACGAGAGGTTGTCATGCACGTTGTCGGTGTTGAACTTCTTGGCGAGGTGTATCGGCCGGTCGGGCTGCCTGAAGAGTCGACCTTCCTGCAGTACGTGGCCCCGATCGACTGCCCTCTTGGACGACAACCTGAGGGACAACTTGAGATCGCCATCCTGCTCCTCCTCGACAGTGTGGCTCTGGCGCACGTATCTCTCGATGCTCTTGAGATTCGAGCCGTCGCGCTCGCCGAGCTCGCGCACCGCCTTGATTATCACCTTGGTCAGGTCACTGTTGCGGCCCACTTTAAGCGGCTTCGACTGCAGACCACCTGGGTCCTATCCACGGAACAACAACGAATCAATACCTTTTTGTTTTGAAAGACTATAAACAAAGAAGAAAAAAATCCCGATGATGATAACCGACCTTGTAGGACGATTGGCCCTTGTTGAAGAGTTTGAGCACGTCCCCGCGCTTGACGGCCAGCTGTAGATTCTCGGCAATGACCTCTTCGTGAAAGTCATGCTGCAGCCGGATAGCGTGGGCGATGCGCTCGACGCTCGGCCGTTGCTTCTGACTGCGGATCTTGCGTATGGCGTCCAAGAACCAGGCGGTCCACGTTTCTGGGTCCGGCTCCTCCATATTGTTGGTGGTGTCGTTTGCGGCGCTGTTGTGCTCCTTTTAGGTACGTCTACTTTAAACTTTGATCACGGCGTATGGGATTCGCTGTTTCGGGCCCAGAGAGGAGCTGCACCACCAAATCCAAGGCGGAGGCCCCCGCTAGACCGGGGGCCCGCATTCACATCGCTGTCGGGTTATGGCAGGGTCCCGCCTAGCCTTCCACGGCGCGCACGAGTTTATGCGACGCGGGCACGCGTCAGCCAGCTTGTGCTGTGATAATGGTACTTTGCTTTCTCCCCCTTTTTTTTTCTGTGCGCGTACCAAGTACGATGAGGTTCGATGGCCTTCAGGACAGATGCTCGCTTTCTTTGTCTATCTCAATTGTACGCCTGCTGTAAACAAAAATAAACGTTGTGCGAATTAGCCAATTGGAAGTGCCATTTTTTGGTTAAAGTAAAAAATACTAGACTACGGTATAATTTATCCTAGATTAATCACCAAGTGTATATATGTATATATTATATACGCACACTTGAACGATCGGTTTTTATTCTGCAACAATTAATAACCAAGACGGATTCGCCGAGAGAATTTTCACGCGCTTGTGCACGTACGATTTCTCCTCTTTTGCGTGAATCAGACCTGTTACGCAATAGATCATAGCAATATCTATCTCTTTCTCGCCCTAGAAATAATATAATATGATACCGATCTCTCTGGAAGATCGGCACAGTAGCGGGCGCTTAAAAATCATTTCAAAACCACGAGGATCCATGAGAAATCGTGCTACTCGTTTACAGTAAAAATTTCAACCACGTACGCACAAATGATTGTCGATGCCAAGGATGACTCATCGAGATTCCCACCGCACGCGGATGATACATATTAAAACACACATCATCGTATAGCTCGCTCGAGTTCCCCGCGTTGAAAGCTATCAATGGTTTTCTTTTTTGCTCGCAGTGGTTGTATCGAGAGCGTGTTACAACCTCGTTAAATCTATATGTAAAAGACAAGGGCCGAGTTATCCCTCTTAACCCCATATTTTTTTATACGTGTAATAGGTATACAGCACGGAGAACGTATAAATTACACAGAGGCATGACTTATCGCAATCTGCTTCCATCTCTTGGGCATAATCGCGACCGCGTGTGGAGAAAAAAAAAAAAAAAAAGGGGA